CTGGCCCCCAGCCAGGGTCAACCCACTACACGGGAGGACAAGAAAAAGCACAGTAAGGGGAACTTTCAGGAATTAGGTAGCTATCTTCATTTTCTGCAGTTAGATGATTTCAGGAATTGTGGGTTTCTGCTGGGATGGTGAGCTGACACCATAGGAACAGGACCTCCCACTGGCAGGGTTTTTAATGTAGTACCTGGCATTCCAAAACACACAGTTTGGCCACTCAGCAGCACGACTGCACATTGCATATGGACAATGCTCTATTTGAACGGCCTTACAAAAGAATACAATGACAATTTGTTGCCTGCAATTGCCTGGCCTTATCATATTGGGCAAATACTGAAAATACGCCACTTCCAAAGAGCAGTCTGACTGCAAAACCAGTAATATTTTCCATGGTTTCTAATCTGGTTTAGGCCTTGTTACCCATGTGTATACAGGAATACTAGAATCCCTTTATATCCTACAGTGCTGTGATACATGCAGAGAGACTACTACTATGTGCATCCTTTTATCCATCTGTTCTTTTTTCTTAACAGCAATACTATGAAGTACCCATAGCAATGAAGTCTGTGTTTGATTTAATCGACACCTTCCAGTCACGAATTAAAGACATGGAAAGACAGAAAAAAGAGGGCATTGTCTGCAAAGAAGATAAGAAGCAATCCCTTGAGAGTTTCTTATCCAGGTATTACCTTCTGTTCTTATCTACTGCTAATTCCAATAATTATTGTCTTATTGGCAAAATACTCACCCAACTATTTCAGTGATTTTTTAATAGAGATTTCTCAGTATTTACAGTGTTAAGCAAATACAGAGATGTAGCCATAGCCACATGCAATCTTGTACAGAGCGCTGGAAGTCAGGATGTGTGTGTTTCCTGACTGACTGCACATTCTTTGGACACTAACTTTCTGTATCTCAGTACCCCCATCATGACATGGAGATAATAACACTGATTTGCATTAGAAGAGTAAATAAGGATTAACTCACAGATGTTAGCTCAGTGTTTTGAATGTATGAAGCACAGTGTTTATGTTTTTCAATCATCAACCATCACAACCTCGTTAATCCCATTCTAATCCCTTCCATGTAGCTCGAATCAGTAATTAATTCTCTCTAACTTCCTTCTTATCCTGCTTGAGATAACAGTTGGTCTTTGCCAGTATTAGTCATGAATATTATTAAAGGTCTTGCAGATGTCTCTTGCAAAATGTTTGAGAGACATTCTGCAGAAAAGCATTTTTGGTTATGCAATCTCTATATGCTGTGTTACTGCTCTACCTGCGAGACCTAAATTCCAGGCAATAAACATGTCTGGACTGTGGGAATTCAGATCCACAGAAGAGCTGTGCAACCATAGCCCTCTCTGTTACAGGATAATTTACATGAAATTAGGGCTACCCCATCACTCTAGGCTTTACCTGTTACTACTGCATCCTCCTCACCTACTATCAGAATCCATGGGAATACACTGTTAATGCCAGATGGCTATAAAAATAACTGAGGCCGTGTGATGGATTATGACTTGAGGGGGGAAAGGAGCAACAGGTAAATGAGTAGGTTGTTGGTTCGTAAATATTTTAAAATTCGATGGCTACTTCAACAGAAAGAGAACCTTTAACAAGATCCACCCCACCCAACTCACCACCTCCTGTTTAGGTCTCAGTGATTCATCCTCAAGACCACCAAGAAGAACCACAGTTTGGAAACAGCTGACCAGCACAAGAAAGAGCTTGTATGCTGGAAAGTGACAGGCCTCAAATCCTTCTTTGCTTGCAAATGGCCCTAGTAATAAATACACATGAGAAAAACAGGCAGGAAAAATGCAGAATGTTGCATCTATAAACAGAACTGCAGCTACACATAGTGCATTTATTGCCTGTGAAACAAGCATCAGGCTTTAAATATTGGGTGGACTTCACTAGACATGATAACTGGTCAGATTCCCAGCAAGATTCATTCCAGCTTTGTACAAGACTATCTTCCCAGCTAAACAAGAGTGCTGGCATCATCTCCCTGTTGTTGCTCATTGGGGAGGTCAGTTATAATAATGCAAATATTGTTCTTAACAAGCTTGGCTGGTGTGAAAGGAGATCATGACAGCCAGAGCTGGCTTGAGTAATGCTTAAAAGCCACATGTATCAGGAGAAGATCCTTGAGTTTGGGGGTGGGCAGTCCCCCTGTAACACCAAGACACTGGTTGTACTGCTCTCTGGGCTCACAAACAACCATGGGATGCAAAATAGGTAGAAGAGAAAGAAAGGATGCACACAGGGAAGGGTCCTGCAGATTTATCAGGACAGGGGTATTGGCCTGTGGCTTCCAATGTCAGAAATACAGCATAAATCTGTACATTACTGACGGTGAACTAACAGCTGTGAAGGACCAACTGAATTAATTTCTAGGTAAGATGTAGCCACAGACAAGCACACCAGGTATAGGGATTGCCTGGGGCAGGGGGATAAACAACCTGCGTGGCTTTCAACCCTTTTCAGCTCTGTGCATCTCCAAAGGAGATGATACTCAAAAAAACTGAAAGGAACTAAGAGTATCTTAAAGCAGCTCACAGATAAGATTCCATCCTGATTTATGCCCTAGACAAAATATGATCCAATGTTTATATTCTCAGTCATTGTTTATAGGTAGTCAGGTGCTTTTGCTATACAAATATCACAAAGATTATTTTTTCCCTGTTTTCAGAATAAAACCACAAAGTTTCCCCCCTTTGCTTCACATCGCGTATGTGATTCTTAATGCTTCTCATTCCTACTCACATACCTGTATACACACACCCACGACTCTTTGCTGTTCCTCCTGGGAAAGATTAAAATTAGGAAGCTTTGCTTTTCAAGTATTTACTTTTTTAATTCTAAAAATATATGCAGTATCAGTCTGTCAACAACTCAAAGACATCATCATCCTCTGTTCTTTCAGCAACTTCTGTGACTTTGAGCAAGTCCCACCATATTTTCTGCTTCTTTCAAATGGAACTGAATTGACCCATTACATTAGCCTTTGAGATCTTCACATGGTGCTGCAGAAAGGCAGGCTATTATTATAACAGAGTAACATCTGCATCCATTTAAAAGATCATTTCCTGCTATAAAAATATCCCTGCAGCTTTGCAAATTCCTTTAAATCTGATTTATTTAGGTTTAATGGAGAAGTACCTTTATTCAAAAAAGGGGTTGTTTGGAAGGTATTAAAACCCCCTATAGTCAGAATTTTTAAAGGTTTCAAGTGTCTTTATAGTATTGCCTTTCTCTGAGAGGACAATGGGAGGCGCTCCTTGTGCAAAGGTTTGGTTAGATGGGGCATCCCATATTAAAGAAAAATCAAAGATTTATCTTATTGCCCCATGCATGCCTTATATAGCCACAGGCTCACACAGCCACACACATACAAACAAGCTCAGATTTAAAGCCATGTTAAAGGTATTTTGAGCAAGTGCGGTAGAGAAGAAAAAGAGGTCAGTGAGTATTTACACAGAAGTATGAGTTATGTCTGAAATGAAGATACACCCTAATTCTCAGACAGCCTTTGGACGGCAAAATAAGTGTGCAATTCCAGCAGTGGTGAATGACGTAAAAGCTAAATGTCTAGTGAGGAATTCTACAGGAATCTTTCTTTCCCTTGAATATACATTTCTCGGCATTGTTGTAACTACTGAAGGGGGCTTTAAGCAAAGATCTGAAGCTTTGCAGTGTTTGTCTGGCGAAGCAGTGAAACTGCAGAAAATTCTTTGAGAGTTTGAAGCTGTGAAATTCAAAACAAGCTTTATCCTCTTCCAGTGATGGATAGAACTGGGAAGATCTCCCATGCAGCTGTTAACTTAGAAGTTGTGAGATGTATGACATATCTCAGCCTAGAGAGAATGAAAACGCTGAGAGGACTCAAGTCACGTGTCATGACCGTGCCCTGTCTTCTCTTTCCAGGTTCCGATGGAGAAGGCGGCTGGTGGTGATCTCTGCTCCCAGTGATGAGGACTGGGCTTATTCCCAGCAGCTTGCTGCTCTTAGTGGACAAGCCTGCAATTTTGGTGAGTCAAAAGAAATTATACTCCTGCTCCCCAAAACCACATCCTTCCTGGTGATGTGATGGATTCCTTTGCTCAAGACTTAACCTAGACAGTCTGAGGAATCTGAGAAATGAAAAGTTTGCTGTAGCTACTCCAAGTACAAATGGAAAATATTGTGCTAAGCAGGTAGTACAGCACACCCTGACAGCTAAGACAGCTAAACAAAGTGTTCCCTGGAATCATTTGTGTGAGGCAGAACAGGTTAGCACTTTGAAGCTTCTCTTCGGGCTTGTACTTCAGGAGATCAATAGTATTTTCTTTTTCTTACTGCACAAATTAACAACATAAGTACAGTGCTTTGGGAAGGGCAGATCCTCTTATACCCAGCTCAGAATTGGGACAGGTATCAGGGAGATACATGGACATCAGAGGTTTTTATCTTTTGCTTCCTGCTTCCTTGCCAAAACCAGTAAAAATATTAACGGAAGCTGCTTTAACCCAATAAGGATCCTCCCAGCCCCCTAAGTATTACGGATCCAAATGCAGTCAGTGGAGAGAGATGGGCTCCTTCAGGAGGCAATTAAGAGCAAGACACAGAAATATTCTTCTGTCTTCCCATTATGAAGCCCTGAGAGACTTACTCTTTAACTTAGGTTCCTAGCAATGCAAGTACCATACAGGGCCCAGACTCGACTCCTACAACAGAATGAAACAGATCCTATTCAAAAGCTATTATTTCAATGCATTTCAGTTATGCCTGGAAATCTGCATGGTATCACTAATACACTGTCTGTTTATTCGTAATCACCTGGGTTTCATTCAGAGCATCATCATCATTTCATTTCCTAACTACCAAAGTAAATTGTGACATGGATCACTGTAAAATACTTTCTGAAGGATGAGACATGACCAAAACAGTTAATTCTCCCCACCTTTTGTTAGGGACAGCTTGAAGGAGATCCAGTGAGTTCCTAAAGCATTTGTCCTCAATGGGTGTGTTAACTAAGGGATGCGTTTCCAAGTATCTTACCTCCAACTTGTAAAAACAGTTCCATCAAAGATTTTGTAGATCATACAGGCTTATGTTACATGAACAGTTTCTACAGCAACTAAGGTCTTTCTTCAAAGCAAAGGCAACAGCCCAAGCCTCTGCCCAGAACAAATGAAAGGAGTGAATGCCTGTCCTAAGCCATTCCCCACAGTCATTTGGAGTTTAACTGTGATACATTACATTGCCTTTAAATACTTTGTTGGTGTATGACAAGTAAGAGCTTTACTAGTGAACAAAACAGCACAAGGACATTCTGAATTGTGTGCTTGATGCTTGTATCCCTATGCTACAGAACCACATCAAATGCTGTTGTCCTTGAGACACTAGCAACAGCTTTTATGCAACTGATACATTTATTCAACACTCTAGTTTATCCCCATGTTTGGGACAGGCGATGTGACCGGCAGAGACTCCAGAAAAATCAGTTAACTCTTCTTCCTAGAGGGCTGCTGAGACTGGCCCCTAATTTAGCATGCACAGAGCTGGCTGATTAAACCAAAATCTCCCTGAGAATGAGCAGAAAGAACTGGTCTGACCCAAAACCTGCTTGATTTCCTCCACAGGTCTGCGCCATATAACTATCCTCAAATTGCTAGGAGTTGGAGAAGATATTGGTGGTGTTTTAGAGTTGTATCCAATTAATGGTAAGTGACTGTTTCCAGTTTCTTCAGTACCACCCATGTAGGGCACTACATAGCGCAGAGTGTTTCTTTGCTGAAATTTCTTTAGAGGGATAGCTTCTTTTAAGAAACAAGACAACACAAAAGCAAACCGTAAGTTTTCTTGGTGTTCCTGTGCTAAACATTATATAGCTTCTTCAGGACAGAAAAACCCAAATATCATCTGGAAGTCATCTCACATCTTTATCTCCCACCTAAACAGTCTCAATGACACTCCTCTGCCTGTCTTTTACATGCTCAAGAGTTTGCAGGGCTAATAGAACATGGACCCAGCAGCTTCTCTTATATGGGTCCCTCATTTATCTTCATAGAATGGTTTGGGCTGGAAAGGTCCTTAAAGATCATCTAGTTCCAACTCCCTTGCTATGGGCAGGGTCACCCTCCACTAGACCACGTTGCCCAAAGCCCCATCCAACCTGGCCTTGAACACTTCCAGGGATGGAACGTCCACAACTTCTCCGGGCAACCTGTTCCAGTCTCTCACCACCCTCATCCTAAAAAAACCTCTTCCTAATATCTAATCTAAATCTACCCTCTTCTGGTTTAAAACCAGTACCCTTTGTCCTGTCTCTATGGGCCCTCATAAAAAGTATTTCTCCATCTTTCTTGTAAGCTTCCTTTAAGTATTCCACTTGCATCCTAGCAGGCTACTTCAGGTAGCTATTCTTATGAGATCTCCCTGGCAGGGTACATTTCAAATGCTTACAGGTTCCTCTGCTACCTAATCCCAACAACTGCTTCCATCAGTGGAGGGACAAAGACAGGAAGGAGCTTATTTATCCCATTGCTGTCCTGACAGCTCTGTACATGAAAGCATCTTAGTCCTTCTACCACAGATAGACATAAATCAATGCCTAAGAAACAATATGAACAGAGGAAGATGTCATACTTCTTCCGTCAGCACTCTTGCAGCCTCCACTTACTTTTCATTGAAGGACTTCATGACCTAGGTTAGAGTTCCTATTTGTCAAGATCAACAGATTTCTTTTCAATTTACTTGTCTAATCTTCCTTTGAACTCACATTAACTTCCAGCATGTGTCCTCTTGTGAGAACCTCCACAGATCTGCAAGGTCCCTTTTATTTGTCCTGAACATGGCCCCTATAGCTTTGTTTGATACCCCTTATCTCTTGTGTGGGGGGAAAAAAGGTAAACATTTAATCCCTATCCATCCCTGCAATGACATTCACAATCCCGTAGACCTCCCCCAACTCGTTTATTTTGCAGACTGTAGTCTTTACTTACTTGGTCTTTTCTCATACAGAGTTTATTCCAAACCTATGATCGGCCTTGTTGCCTTTCTGACTTTTTTCCTCCAGTTCTACCATAATTTTTGAGGTGAGAGAACCAGAATTGCACGCAGTGTTCAAGATGCACACAAACAATAGGTTTCCATAGTGGAATAATAATACTCTATTTTGGTTTTCATTTTCCTTGTGGTTTATAACATCTGTTTTGGCTTTTCACCATTAGTGAGCACTGAAGTAGCCTTTCATGAAACTCTCTTTCACAGCCCTAAGATCTCATTGCCAAGTAGTAATGGTCAGACTTCACCATATCTTATGTCAAGTTATCAAAATTTTCCCAAAGCACATCATTTTACTTCAATCTGAATCAAATTTCTTCCATCATTAACCACTCAGCCTTACAAGGGTTTTCTGCAATGCTTCACAATCATCCCCTGCCCTTACTATTGTGAGTATCTCCACACCTTCACTACACTTCCTCACCTCCATTCTCATACCTTATGTGCGCCATATTTATAAATACGTTCAACAGCACCAGTCCCAGCACAACCAACCACTGAACTTCACTGGTGACCTCTCTCCACTCTAAGAACTGATTATTCACTCCCACCTTGTTTCTGCCCTTCAACCAAGCTATCAAAGTTCCTTTTGAAGCCTTCTGAAAATCCACATAGCCTGTATCAGCCAGACCACTCTTAGCCACCTGCTTGATGACCTCCTTCAGAGAACCTCAGCAAGTTTGTAAGGCAGGATGCCACTTTGTAAGAGTCCTGTTGCCAAGCTAACTATGTATGTGTGTGTGCGTATATCTATGTGCTTACTGATCCTAGTTGTCTTATACTTTTTATTCATTTACCCAGCCCGGACTTCACACTTACAAGCTTGAAATTCACCAAATTTGCGCTAGAACATGTATTTTACGGTGGACGTGACATCTACCACATCCCATATCTTGCATATCGTGATAGTTCAAGAGTGAGGCTCTATACTGCCATTAGTGATCCAGCAAATTCATCCTGCAATTCTTCACACTATCACACTTCAAATCTAGTGATGCCTTTCACTGCGACTGTTTTTCACATATGCCTTCGGCATTAAGTGAACCAGTTACCCAAGCTGCCTAGAAGCCAAAGATGTGCACGTGTGTTGGGTGACAATGCGGCATGCCACATTCTAGTAGCTTCAGCCTAAAGACATGTTTACTAAACCTAACTAAATTGTTAAAAATATATCTTTTGTTCACAGTGGAGTAGTTTCATTTCAGAACCAGGAAATCCTGAGCTTGTAAATGACAAGAATCTTACATAGCCAACTATTGGGCTGCATCTTATCTCACATTGCTAACTCGCTTACCTACAAACCATCATCGTCACCTAAGCGAAATATCAATGCTGTTTTTATGTGATCACTTTCTAGGAAGCTCTACTGTAGACCGAGAAGATATCCCAGCTAATTTGGTGAAAGACATTCGAAATTATTTCCAAATTAGCCCAGAATATTTCTCCATGCTTCTAGTTGGGAAAGATGGAAACGTCAAATCCTGGTATCCTTCTCCAATGTGGTCTATGGCGATTGTATATGATCTGATTGATTCCATGCAGCTTCGGCGACAGGAAATGACAATTCAGCAATCGCTCGGCATGCAGTGCCCAGATGATGAGTATGGTGGGTATGGTTACCATAGCTATCACCAGGGATACCAGGAAGGTTACCAAGATGACTACCGTCACCACGGAAGTTACCACCATGGATATCCGTACTGAAAAGAGCAACTTAGCCTCCGACTGCCCTGCGTCTGTCTTCTAATAGCTATCCAAGCAATAGGTGGCCAGTTGCAGAAAGTCTTCCCAGGCCACCTAGATATCCATGCCTCCTTCTTCTACTGTTCAATCAAGGGACTTTGATCATTTGCCTTCTCAAAAAAACAGAAGCCTTTACAATGAAGCAATTCAAACCAGTAGTATTGAAGCTTTAAACAATAAAGACTCCTTTATGTTTTTAAACCTTTATAAACAAAGGGCATCAGCAGGTGCTGTTTGTATTAAAACCAAACGAAAAAACCCCACAGTCACAGTCCATGGACACTACTGTAGGGCAGGACATGAACTGTCCAACAAATATTGCAATGCTTTTTTTAAGGTTTTTTTTTTTCTACTAAGGAGAAAAAAATAATAAGTATATTTATTGGAAAGTGGGATTTTTTTTCTTTGTGCTCATGAAGACAAGCAAAGAATCACACTTCAGGACTTTCCCAGAAAAGGAACATTTAAGAAAGAAGCCTGAGGCAGGCTCTTTAATAATGACAACAATAATAATAATAAAATCCTTTTGAAGTACCTTGTCTAAAAAGACAGCATCCCTTCTACAGTGCATTGACATTGTAATTAGCTGGCTTTACCAATGAAAATAAGAATTTATGGCTATGGCAGGATTTGTTCCAGTACAATACAATGTAAAGTTCTTAACTACAAAGCTTGCTGCATGGCCATTTATTCTTTTAATTAGGGTCCCTGTTCTCTTAGGTCCTGCCCACCTGACAGTTAAATCCAAGATAATGAGAGCTAAGTGGAAACACCAACCATAGCTAGCATTGTCTGAAATACAGAAAACTGAAAAGCATTATTTTCATCAGAAAAAGAGGAAAAAAATTCTCATTCACATATATTTTAAATGAGTTGTAACTAGCTCTCTATAATAATGTTTTTAATTAAACTATTGCTCTAAATTTTAAATTTCCTTCTACCTCTTCTTCTCATACCCTCTCCCCTGGAAAAAAAACCCCTAGATTAAATGTTTATACAATTATTTGGGAATAATTGGATGTGCTACTAAACCAGCTCTATTTCTGCCACACTTTCTGAAATGGTTTTCTTCTCACTGATGTCTTTGGGCATTGGATCTGTTGCACCACCCTGCTCCTACAGAAATCAGTGGCAGGAACTGCATGCATAGCCATGCTTTCAACATCATTTGGGTTAGATTTCTAAATGTTAAAGATCCGGCAGAAAGATTCAAGAATATCCTGAAGTGAAGGTATCATGCAAGCCTTCATAGTGGCACAGCGGTCACTTGTGATGTTGACGGCATGCCTGACCAGTCACAGTTCTTTTTATAATCTGTGACATGGGTGTACATCATGCCACTACAGACACATGCAGCAGGGCACTCTTATCAGTTTTGCCATCACAGCAGTAGCACAGGAATAGGGAGAAGCTACAGCTCAAAGCTGGCCAGAGCATGCCCCACAGTTTCAGTTTTAGCATTTTCCTGATCCTTTTTTTTGGCCCCGTTGAAAACAGAACTGGGTAAAGCAACAAGTTCACAAAAAAACTGATGCTTTCTTTACAAACTTAGTCACAAAAGTCAGACCTTATTTGCCCTTCTGAATCTCAGAAAAGGCAGACAGATGGCAAAAGGTCCCAGGGCCTGGCCAGTTCCTCCTTAGCTTTACAAACCCGGTCACCCTCTGGGGCAGGCCACGGTCCATACCATGAGGTCTAGTCGGCACAGGGTACAGCTCCTGACTTGCCTCTCTCAGGTGACTGGAGCTAAGTGGGGAAAGGTAGGCATCTGACAGAACCATTTTGAGAGAACTGCCACCTGCAGAGAGCTTCCAAATTCTCCCTTATCTACAGCACTTCCACAGCAGAAGGCAATGGACAGAAAATTTAAAAAAAAAAAAAAAAAAACACCAAAGAAGCTATAAAAAACAGAATCACAGAACTGAAAGGTTTCTAGAAGAAAATGGGAGGTCCCATTGCTCAGTTTTAGAAAACAAGTGCTTACTGCATCACTGTATTAAGGTCAGCTGCCTAACTTTCTTTGCCTAAAGGAAAAGCAGAGGAAAGTATACCAGATGTCTAACAGCCACCTCCTATAGACAAAAAGAGAAACACCTTTGGGGTGTTTTCTTTCAGGTCTTCATTTCAACTTTTCTGTAATCTTATTTTTCATGTAAAGTCTTTAAATGAAAGCCCTTTTAACTCACATTACAAATCATGGAAACTAAATGTCCTGTGCTGAGCAGGAAGAGAAGACAGTTAACTTACAAAATAGAGTGCAACACCTGATCCAAACTGCCATTTTTTATTTTTCCTTTTATTTTTTTGTCCCCGCTCCAGAATTCAAAGTTGTGCAAGTACCAAACCCAGCCTAGGTATTCTGTGGGAGTTGCACTAAAAAGACAACTCCAAATAAGTTGTCTGCTTATAAGGGAGGTTGGGATGGGCTCTCAACCAAAACTACACATTCAAATATTCATAGAATTTGAGGAAGGCTCACTATTATTCTACATTCTGGTGCCAATTCCTGCCTTCATTACAAACTGGCTCAAAATTACCAGAAACTTTTAGCAATCATTTAAAATCCTGATTTTGCAACCTACCTCTCCCTATGGAAAACTAAAAGCAAAGCCTGAAGGAACATCAAGCCAAAAAATCCTTTCAACAATATCATATAGTTATCTTGAAGACCATAAGCATTCAGGAGCTACAATACTCCAAGTTACGATTTCATTTTGCAAAACACAAATCAAATCCAAATCTGTCCCTGCAGTATCACTCTGAGGACAGACTTATTGAGATTAAGGTCCTATTTCTACAGCCCCTAGTGAGAAGATTCCACATGATAAAGAAAACCTTTTTTGTTTTATATATTTATGGGATTTGATTCAGCTCCAAGATGGCTGTTTTCATCCACAGGCTGTCTTTCAAGCACCATGGCTCAGTTGCTACAGTCACAAAGTAGCTGAAATTAACCAAAATATTGCTTTATTTGGCTTGTTATAAACAAGACCAACATGAACACACCTCTCTTCCTGAGCGCTTTTGTGAACTACTTTCTCAAACCTGGAGGGAGGAACATCAGATCCTCAGCAGCAATTAAGTTCAAACATTTGTGAAACCGCACACTAAATCACAGCTTAGAAAGAGCTCTCTGTCCAACGTATTCATTAAGGACTATGTGCCAAACCAATGCTTCTCTCCAAAAATCTCCCCATAAATTTCCCTATTGTCATTTGAGGAGAAAAACAGTAAGCTTTCCAACACGGAGTAGGTCAGCAACCATACAGTTGAAATACTTAATCAAGTGGGATTCACATAATCTATTTGAAACATGTAACTCCATAGACTAGCTCCCCCTTGCTAATCTGGGCTGCTCTCTAGCTGACAAGCATTTACAGTGACTTTCTCTAACAAATTTCATGTACACACTAAATTCAACTATTGCCACGGGTAGTACAGCTGCACAGAATTGCATGGTTGTACTTTTGAGTTACTTTACACACTTTTTTATTGCTAAGTTGATGCAAATCCTTACCCATTTTTAGACAGCAGGTAACATTCCTGTTGCTGCAAAGGGGATATACAGTTCTCCTCCATTATTCAAAGAAACCTGCCTGGCCAATCTAACTGAATGTCCCTGAGACCTCCAACCTGAAAACAACAGAAAGATTTCTACACGTTAGACAGGACAATCTAAGACTGGAAAATAAGTCAAGCCTGATAGCATCAGTGAAATTTATAGTGGGAAAAATCATTAAGCAGGCCAAGAGTTGAAAGCAAGAACTAAGTGCACTTTATAAAATCTGCAGATCAGTCATTTCCATATCTCATTTCTCTTAAGGCAGATATTTCAGGCAGGAAGGTTAAACATATGATTTTTAAGATATTCCTCTCTGGTTTGATGCTCTGTCATTAGAGGTATGAGGCTGATTTCTATGTTCTGACTTAATGCAAGGCAAAGCTTTCTGGAAAAGCTCATGTAAAAGCTACTGCTCCTGTAAATGCAATCTAAAGCTAACAGTACTTTCACTCTTCTTGGAAATACCTGCTAAAGTTGGTAGCTATGATTGAAAAAGACAATGAACTCAGGCAGGTATATACTGCAAAGCTGTATGTAATGGAAAAAAAATGAAAATGTCTTATTGCAACGAAGTCTTTAACAGTTTGAGCTTTTTTTTTTGTGTGTGTGTGTTGAAGTTTCTTTTCCCAAAACAGTACATCATAAAACCAATGAAAACCATGTTTCTGGAATTTACACTGAAATATGCTTTTCTTATTCATTCTGTACAGATGCAAACAACTAGGATTCCTTTTGATGAAATGACTTACTGTACAAGCTCAATGAGATCAGCCGCAAAAAAATTTTCAACCACAACAGTAATTTCACTTTGTACAGTTATTCTTAATATATGCTAAAAAAGTTAATACTCCCAGAAAAAAAGAAATAATCATTTTAGATTCATAGTTTATAACTTGACGGTCATCAGCCACATATGGAAACAGGCTGCCCTTCTTGATGGATCAATGACAGGAGGTATGTTAATTGATATAGCAATGAGCCATCAATACAGTATGTGTTAAGTAAGCTGTTATACACAGTCTGGAAACAGGATGGCAGAGGGGAACAAAGGCAGGACTGTCTTCAGTCCACAGAGAAATGCATCACTAACTGATTACTATACACTGTGGTATGAGGCTTTGACACTGAACTCATTGCTTATCTTCCTAAGAATTCTTTTGACGATATCTTTCAACTATGAAAGACACATTTTTGAAGAGAGGAAATTATAAACCAACATCTTTTCCACTGTTCTGAGAGAAGAGGCTTTAGAAATGTACCACAAATCTCTTATCTGCATCCCTATTTCACTCCTCCTTTTAAAATTCTTTGAACTACTTGGAACCTATTTTTCATCTCACTCAAAATTGGGATTCTGAGATCACTATACCTGGCACTCTGCAGAATGATTTCTCTCTTTACAAAATGAATGCAAGACCTTATCAGTCTGACAGGGTGGAGCAACACCAAAAGATACTACCACCCGCACCCTCTTGCTCAGTGCTCCAGATGTTGAATGGCAATCACTGTAGCTGTATAATATTTGTTTTCAGTTAGTGGCTTCAGTGCAAACTAAGCCTCTACATATAGCCTTTCTAAACGCAAAAAAGACCCTATGATGCATTCATACTGTATAACACACTTTTGTTTTATTCAAGGTTTTGCAAAGTTAGGCCACATAAGTTGCATGTAAAATTTACTGTCTGCTACAAAGGCATTCCAGATTTCCATTTCCCCAGACAACTGGGAGACAGGCACACAACCGTCTCACACTGAAAATGTGAGGAGAACTAGTGGCTGGTCAGTGAAATCTATTCTGCTCTCAGTCACATCAGAGAAAATCAGAAATAAAGGACTCCACAGGAGTCAGTACAGAGTTGCACTGATGTAAAAACAGGAATGAAGACAGAATTAAGACCATTTGAACTTAAAACACACTCTAGAGATCTGCCTGTTTGAAGGATCAACATATCCTCAACCCAAATTATTTATTATACATTCTCAAGTGAAAATTTGATGAGGTTGGTTCAGAGGGACTCTTTTACTCAGTTAGGGATATGTCAATCTGAATTGCCAAAATACAATAAAACAATCAATATGCCTCATTATTTATGAGGTTATTAGTAACATCTTAAGTCCTGAAAAGAAAACTTATTGGAGCATTTGTACACTGGAAGATACAGCAAAAACATTAATCAATGCTCATATCACTTCTGCAAGGTGGAGAACAGTTTTATCTCTGCTTTGCTAACCAAGGAATTCATATAGGAAGTTGCAGTGACTCAGAACAGTCAACCAAAGCAGTGAAAGACATGTGGTTAGAGTCCAGGATTGCCTTCCAGAATGCAGCACATGTCACCCAGACCACTGAGCCCAGCGTCCAAGCCTCTTCTTGTTTGCATCAGTTACAAATTTTGTTTCTTTCAGCACATTTTGAACTGCTGATTTACATGGATAGGAAGAGGGAATACAACTCTCCACATATATGGCTTGAACATTTTCCTTATCCACCTCTGACATCCAGCTCTAAAATAGTCTCAAATGGTCTGCAAGTGGGGAAAAATGACCCTTCTCTATGTTAATAAAACATTAACATTCTCTCACTATGAGTAATAGCACTCCTCTAAGCCAGCCTCATGCTAGAGGGAATCTTCATCAGTATCCATGTCACTGCTTGGTTTGTTCAATCTCTCAAATTCTTCTCCATCCTACAGGAACCAGAAGCAGAAGAGAACAATGTGAGTACAAGTTATCTTGTTATTAATACAAAAAAAAAAAAAAGTAAAGTTTATTTTGAAGGCATCACTTATACAAAATCAAGATCCTGTAATTTAAATCTCTTACCAGTGTGTTATAATCTTGCTCTAGGATATACAGGCTCATAAAAAATATCCCCTATATCTTTAACACTTTTTAGTGACTCACAGCCTAAAACAGCCTGTAGTCCATTCCATCAGGAAGCCTGCTCATATAGTGCTATTTGTTTTTACCACAGCTGCTCAATTGTAAGTGCTAAAGTAGATAGTGCCTGGTATACCAAAAATATACGACTTTGTGTTGTTTACTGCTTGGTAAACAACAACCTAAAAAGGCACCATGGGGAATTCCTGCAAAAAAATCTCTTCCAAGTTTAACGTTTCTTAGAATTAAATGGAGACAGCACTCTCTGCTGGCTGCAACATGTATTAGAGAACACATCTGTACATGCAGACTAAACCTTTAACCCTTCCCCCCTAGACTGACTGCTCAGCTCAATTGAATGACATATCTAAGAGCAAGCCCTCCCTGTCATGTTCTAGCTAACTAGATTAATATTCAAATTAGGACAAAAACCACTAACAGGCCTGGAGGAAATGTTTCATAAGGAAAAAAACGTGTTAAAACTCTGTATTTAAACACCACCTTTTTGTTTTCAGGTATCTTTGACTGTTAAGGTAGAAAGAATCTTAACCTCAAATACGTTAACTTCTTCGTGATGTGGGCTCAGCTACACAATTTATCAGTTCAACTTCAGTACAGTTATTTCCCAGGCATCAATTCCAATTACTGGATGCCCAGGGCCAGTAAAATATTTTGGTTATAAAGGTTTCAAGAAAGAATTTGTACAAAGCTAAAGTTGCTCACAGGACTGTCTATAGTCACAGCAGGAAAGCAATGCTTACCTAGGCTTCATGAATTGAAGAAGTGGAATATACAAAGCAATATCAAATCAATTTAAAAGATTTTAAGAAACACTGCAGAGTTCTGGTGTTTGAAGGATGAGTCCAGTCACATGCCAAATGAATCTTCCAAACATTCCATAGCATAAATGGAGGCGAAACAAAAAAGAGAAACCAGAGGAGACAAGTACTGAAACACCTTACCCCACTTGACCTCTCCCACGCATCTCCTTTGATGAGTTTGCCCCTTTCGCGCAGAGTGGCATATTCCAGGCTTCTTGGTTTACCAGCATTATAAATGAATATGGAGAGAAGCACTACAGGAGCTTCCAAAAAGAACTCTAGAGAAGGCCTGAAGTCAAAGATGACAAAAGATACACTGGTGATGATGACAGTGGTGATCTGAGCAGTCATAACATGGAACATATTGTCTCGGAACTTCAAGATGAAGGCTACAGACAGCCCCAGGAAAGCTGTGACAAATATGAGAGCCACCGAGAAGACGTTGTGTCCATAAAAGAAGCCACAATTTCCTATCTGCCTCCTGTCCTTAGCCCGCAGCCCCAGCATAAGTCCATTGAACAGCACACCAAAGGCATAAAGTTTGCTGTTCTGTGTGAAGATGCTCTCAGCAAGCTGATCCCCATCCTTCAAGATCTTTTCATTGTAGATGTTAGCCAGGGCAGAAATGAAACACTGCACTAGAATAAGCAGATGGCCCAGGCTGAGGCGGAGAGGTTTCAGTGCTCCTGCCATGGTACTGGTAACATTCCACTGGAAGCTGGGAAGGAAACTCGGTGCTACACAGTTGCCCTTTTCCACACATGCTTCCTCTGGTCCAGCATAAAGAAGGCAGTGGTTAGATGGATTAAAAAACATATTGTGATGGAATCCATGTGCAGCCAAGCTTTGCTGATGGCCTCCAGTTCCTAGAGTCAGGGCAACGATGGACAGGAATAAAATCACCAGAGATGCCCATTGTACCCAAGAGAGTTTTCGCCTAGGAGTAGACAAAAAAAGCCACCAACTTTAGAAACACAGTGGCACAAATTAAATGACAGGAGAACAAGCTCTATAAAACTCATAAAAGACATCATGCCACAGATAAGGAGACAGAGATGGGTGCAAAGAATTTTCAGAATTGACAGTAAAATGCCGAAACAGAGCATACTTTTCTATGACAAATGGGCCCCCAGCCTGGTAGTCACAGAATGGAATACAAAAATATACAAAATGCAGTATTCAAGGAAAGTCTTTCAAGATCATGTGAGTTCTAGATACTGACTGCCTGACAACTTAAAAGCAACTGTTGTCTCCATGGGAACACAGGTCTGATGGATAAAAAGAAATCAGACATTCAAATAAATACCCTCTTTCTTTGGTAAACGTTCACTACACTTCACTTTTCCCCCATGATTTTGTGCCCTTTTCAGTATTTTATGATGGTAAATCACATAAATCTGTGAAGGTAATTCATAAGACTGTTAGAACTAGTTATATTATTTTTTCACTCAAGCAAAGCTTATTTAACTTGGGGAAGATCAGAAATTTGGAAGATTAAGTAAACTGTGACATCACAAAAGACATAAAGCTAAACAAGTGAGAAAAAACATTTCAAGTCAGACTATCAGACACTGTTTTGGTGTATTAACACCTGTAAAAAGGCATCTTTGCTCCACATTTAACATAAGTGACTTTTTTAGTAGAATATGAAGTTAATATCCATTTCCTTGACAATCTTTTCTGAATCTAAATCACACCATAAAGAACACAAATCAGAGAACACAATAGAATGGAGAGTCTGGCTTTTGTCACATTGTTGTGGTTTAACCCAGCAGGGAGCTAAAACAACCGCACAGCTGTTTGTTCAATTTCTCCCCTTCCCGGGGGGGGGGAAGAACAGAAAAGAAAAAGAGAAAACTCGTGGGCTGAGATAAAGACAGCTTAATAGGACAGACAAGAAGAGAATAATAATAAGAAGAAGAATACACAAAATAAGTGATGCACAGCACACTTGCTTACCACCTGGAACCAATGTTCAGCTAGTTCCTGAGCCATGGCACCCCCCACCCAACTCCCCCCAGTTATATACTGAGCATGATGTCATATGGTATGGAATATCCCTTTGGCCCATTGGGGTCAGCTGTCCTGGCCGTGTCCCCTCCCAGCTTCTTGTGCACCCCCAGCCTCTTTGCTGGCAGGGCAGTATGAGAAGCTGAAAAACTCCTGACTTAGTTTAAACATTGCCCAGCACCAACCCAAACATCAGTGTTATCAACATTATTGTCATCCTAAATCCAAACCACAGCACCGTACCAGCTGCTGGTAAGAAAATTTAACTTTATCCCTTAGCCGAAACCAGGACACACATGAATAATGAAGGGGGGACATATAATTACTTTTTAAAACATACTATGCAGTTGACCAGAAACACATCAGGACTGGCACAGTATTACCGAAGACACCTCTGTTTTTCACTCTTACCTATTTCATCTCCTCTTGTTAGATTATATTTACATTCAATTAAGAATTACAACAGACTGGAAAGAAGTACTGCTAATCATGAAATATGAGATTTACTGTACAAACGAAAGTACCCAAACCTTAATTCTAAGCATCTAACAACTGTATAATCATAATTTCAGTTGTCTTCTATTACAGTTGACCAAGTGCGTACAGATACGTAAGGACTCCTAATAAGCTATTAATTCCTACACCTTCAGACACAGAAAAAGCCATCTCTCCAAGTTGGTATAGCCACAAGAAAAGAGAATTACTGTTCCCATCAGACAAAAAGAAAGAATGTAGCTCAACTTCTTTGTCAAGGCTAGGAAGATATAAAATTTCATTTGCTTTAGTAAACACTACTTACTTTAGCACTATCCTGAAGAGAAGAGCTGTTGTTATAATAACAAAATTTGAGAAGAGTACAGCCATTGCCTAGAAAGAGAAGAGGAACAAAGTTATACTCCAGCCATAGTGTGGACATCAAAAGCCCACCGACTTTAACTTCTCACCTTTCTGCAAGGCGGTAGAATAACACACCCCTAAAATGACATTTAAGTCCCATTTCAAAACCTCAAGCAAATCACAGAGCCTAAGTTCCACTGTAGTGGGGAAAGCTGTACTGCAACAAAGATGTGAGGAAACCAATCCAGTGGAAAACTTACTTAACAAAAAAGAAAACAGTTTATTTTTCTGTCAGATCAGTTCCTCAGCCAGGCTGACCAGTCAGCTGCAAAAACACCTGTGTCAGCACAAAGGAGGAAGTTGCTCCAAAATGAAAATAAGAAAAGAACAGGGGAAGGCGAGGCTGCTTCTGGCTGTGCCAGCTTGCAGTGTTCATGAAATCCCAGACTCGGACAAGGTACCAGCAGAAAATATACTCCTTGTGTGTTAAGTGCACTTGCTCTATCATTTCTCAAAGTTAAGGAGGTGCTTGGCTTGAATTTTTGAGACTGCAACCCATTTCAAAGTACAACTGAAGACAACTCTAAAGCTTCTGTCTGATTTGGGAATAATAATGATAGTGCCCTAATCCATGGCCATGATCCCAAGCTGCAAACTCCTTGTGACAAGGATTGTCTTTTTGCTCTCTATATTAGACACTCTATACTGGCACACTGGACCAAAAAAAGGCTCTTTTAAGGCACTGCAGTTACTATTAAAGATCAGAATCTACCAGCACCAGTGGGGAAAAAAGGTTCACTTTGGGGGATGGGGAGCGTTTCCCAAATTGTATGTTATTCAGGACTACCCTGTGTAGTCAGTACACATATAAAAATCTAGGCATTTGAACTCTTTCCACTAATTCACGCCAAAGCATATACGGAGCGAGAAGTGCAAAACATGGACTTTTCTTCAACTTTCTCATCCGCATTTCCACATTCCCAATTCTGCAACAGCGGAGCCTTTTTCATTTACCAAAAGAAAAGCACATGCCTTTTTCCCGTTACCTTAGTTCCACTCTATTCCAACATACTGTCTGCTGAATAATAAATCTCATGAAACGGCACAACACAGAGTCTCAAGTAAGCTGAAGACTGACACAAGACATCTGCCTAAGAAACCACAGCTTAATCTTCCACTTTGCAAGATCACAAGTCAATAAATATTCATGTTAGGTGAACACTGTGGAAGGAGAAAAATATTGAATAAAGAAGTGAATCTGACAGAAAACACTCCGGAAAAAAAAAGGCTTGATGCAAAATGTACAAGTGTTCCATGTATTCTCTGGGTTTGCTTTACAGTCAAAGCCCCCCATTCAACATCTCTGGTAACATAATATGATCAAAATCTGTAGCAGGATAGTTACAAGGAATTAAGTCCGAGTTCCGTTGTTCTTTGAGGCCTCAAGGGATGTCTGTCATAGATGAGAAGGAAAAAGAAAAAAATTTACCAAAGACCACCTTGCCACTAACTTACATGTCACAAACAAAGTCTATTAAAAAAAAAAAAAAGTCTAACCACAAGAAATTTTTAGCCATAAAAGATTATCCATAATTAAGCTGAAGCTTCAAGGAAAAAAAAAAAAATCTCACCAAAGCAACTCTATACTTCAAGCAACTGCTCACCCAGGTACTACTTAGTTCCAAACCTGCTTAGTTTTTAAAGTCAGTTCAGTTTTAAACCAAGTTCAGTTAGGTATGGCCACTTTCTTTCAAGCATCTTGCCTCCACCTCTTCACTTTCATGGTCTTGTACACTGTCAAGGTATTCCATCTTAGAAATATTTAATCATCTCTTTTAATACTTGTTTACCATGATGTTACAAATTCTGCTAACCCTCATAAAATACATCCAGTTAGAAGGTGTAAGATGCTAAGAGTTGCCAAAAAGAGGAATCTTAGAGCACATGTTCTGAGGGGATAGAGACAAGGGGAGCAGGGGGGGGGGTGTGTGTGTAAAATATAAAAGCTGTGCATATTACACAAGATGACCTTAACTGAGCCAAATCAAATTGTTAAGAAAGCAATAGTGTTTATGTAACCTTCTAAACATCAGGCTTTGCTATTACAAACATTATAGCTGAATTTCCTTCCTAAAGTAAAAAAAAAACCAAAAACCAACAAAACCAAAACAAAAACACAACACCAAAAAACCCCCACACAACAAACCACAGAACCAAGCGCCCATGCACGGTATTATCCAACTCTTGATTTTAATTAGATTTTTCCAGCCAGGTCCTATTCTAGACTCTGGTGTGTCCCTGACAGAAATGTACACCTAAAAGGACAGTATTTTAAAGAGAAATTCTGAAACAGAAGGAACATTTATATTTATTCTTAATGTCAAACATCGGTAGCCACAGTACTTTATAGCAAGCGCTAACCATCTGTTCCCATCTAACTTCAAACATACATTTTGGATCAAAAAGTATCCTAGCACAAAAATAAAGTACAAAAACTGTACTATTTCCTGAGCATATATAGATTCATCCAAAAGGATGAATGTAGTTAGAAGAAAGTGCTGATTAAATTTTGTGCTTAAACAGAACTAATGAACAAATGCAAAAATTAAGAGTCAAACAGTTTTCTTCCTCCTGCCCTCAGTTCCTGTTACACTTACTCCCTTTGCGGGATTACATTTACTCACTTTCCTTTGGAATCAGTGAGGAAACAAAACAAGTCATCATGTGAAGTCACATACATAAAGTGGTAGAAGTCACATAGAAAAGTGCAGCTCAAATACTAGAAAGATGAGCAAATGCACTGAGAGAGAAATAGAGTTGAAGAAACCAAAGGAGAGAAAGCATCGAAAACCCATCTAGTGCTTAGCTATTCAGCCTACTTCTAAATCGCTTTGGATGAAGAAAATACACAGAAACTGTCCTCTACTGACAGCTGTATAACGCTGGCCAGTGGGCAACAGAATGGGAAGCTCTGGCTGGTCAAGTAACAGATCAGTCTTTTACCTGAAAATCTTGCCTTGCCAGTGTTACAATTGTAGACAGTCTAAGGGCAATGTTACCTACCACTAAGACACTGAAAGATACTTTAATCACCATATATATAAATATATACTTACTGGCTGGAGGTAGGACAGTACATAGAAGACAATCAAGTTATCCAAAAAGTAAAGAAAGGCAGGAATTGACCATTTCATGGAATTACAAAAATTCTTCCAGGAAATACATTCAAAGGGATGATCCAAACAACCCTCTGAAAAGAAAAGAAATCAGTAAGACACTTTTCTTATTATCAAAGTTATATTACCAAAAGCCCAATCCTTTGGAACAGTGGTACCTATTCTGTTACATTTTCAGGAACACTGTTGGACTGAAAAATCTAAGGTACCACAGCCCTCTGGCAACACAGAGGACAGAGCCAGGGCAGAATACACAGCTAGAGCACCAAGCCTGCGCCTATGGACATTCACCTCCTTGCTTCAGCACAGAAAATGTCAAGGAATCTTTTAACCCCATCACAGTATTTGTCCACTGGGAGCAAAAATTCAATTATCAACCATTCTTTGAGGGCCAAAATGCACTCCAAAAGTCCCCACACAATAGTGACATCATTACTGGGTATGATTTTCTGATGATTATAAATCCAATCTAGAACTGAAACAATGACACAGACAATAGACCTGTTCACATAGCATCCAAAGGGCAGCCAATAATGTCAGAAATACAAAATAAACCAGAACTCAGTATCTGTAGCACACGGCACATGATGTGGGTAAAAAGAGAACATGTAGGAAGAAGGAAGAAATAAAGGACAAGGCACAAAGAATGGCATTTACTTAGGTACTCTAAACTAGAGTTGGTGACAGAAGTATTTTGTTAGCCCAGATTTAACACTACACAATGTTACCTAATCCTCTTCTGAACCACTGACACATTATTTCTGCAAAATTCAGACATCTGGAGTAAAAAAAAACAAGAAACAAAAAAAAAGGTGGGGAGAGGGAGGAGAAAACCAGAAAACACGTAGTCAGCAGTAGCCAATGATGGCAAACACTGACTGTATATATTTCCTATCTTAGGTATATCTGTACTAAATGGTGGAGGCAAAATTTCATCAGCTTGATAGAGCCATGACTGCTACATGGAGAAGTGGACAAAATTAGCACTCCAATTTAACAGTTGTCTCCAGTGCCTGACACCCTCTTCCAATTTAGAGTCTGTTCTCTACCATTTTGAAACGCTATGAAGTTAACCTCTCATCCTTTTTACATCAGGACAGAAAAGTCAAGAAAGAAAAATAGCCTGCAATGCAAAACCAGTAGCTAGTGAAGCCTGACACCGCCTTTCCCAAACAGCAGCCCCAAGATTTGTCTTCCCAGCAAAGCTACCTTGAATTATAACACTGAAATGTTGCTTCTGACTCAAATCCCACTACACACACACAAAATGCCTTCAGTGGAAGGTGGTGGTGCTTTTAAATAGAAGTGGTCAGAACAACAGAATATAAAAGCCGATCCTTAAATTGCTGCAATTTATAAGCTTCTCTTCAGTCATGACTTCGCAGTGAGGTGGCTCCTATTATCTTAGCATGATACCGTGTTAAAATTCTGAAAATGTTAGGCTATGCCTTCATTACACTTCCTAACTCAACTTCCCTGTCCCCATTTCAGCTACCATACACACAACTCAAAAATACATTAATTTACAGCAGAAAGTGGAATTATAAAAGTAAAGTTTAATTATAATTCTGCATGGAAGACATAATTCCAGAGAACCTTCTAGCAGGACCTACTCCGTACTACTACATGTGAATGCATCATTAAAAAAAAAAAAAAAAAGGGATTTGAAGCAGATCTTAGGAAGTCAGCATATTTTAGTTATTTTAAACATAGGTACTTACCTTTTTTCTTGACCCATAGTGCCAATACCACACACAGGACCAGTTTTACTACTTCAGAACATATGTTCACTGTTGTAGGAAGGTAATCATATTTGTTTTCTGTGGGATTCAGCAAATCATAGGGAATAAACAATCAGATTCTGTCTCCTGCATTCATAATTAGACCAAGAAACTATTTTAACCCCTCCAATCAGAACTTTAGCCACTGTCCATAAACGCAAAAGCCTATGTCAGCACTTCCATTATAAATATTTCAATTTTTATGATGTACAACTTCCTGAACACTCTCTTTTCTGGGCTGAAATCTTTCCTCATTTTGTCCCAGTTTACAGCAGAACTTTTTGGAAAAATTCAGTAACGTCACTGTTTTTAAAAAAAATGTAAAAACGGGAATGTTTTCCCCAAACAGTAATATGCTCTTTTTTCCTCCTTCATAAAAAAAACCCAAAAAACCCACCAGCTTCCAGGATGACACAACCTTCTTCTAGGACTGTATCTTTCCTTTGTTAGCATATTCTGCTAATACCGGGTGAAAGGAAAAGCAGTAATACTGGCCAGTTATAGCATGCCCACTATGATATCACTTTTCTCCTAAGTCTATCGTGTGACAAATATTTCAGTCAAGACATGTACTATTGATAGAGCTTACACAACAATTTAATCTTTGAAAGTTAGCTATAAAATAAATCACTGCCTCATCTTTTATGGGTGAACCTCCACGTGGATCGTACACTTTGGAATACAGGTTATCACTTTATGTTAGACCAGTGACTATATAGAAATTTTCTAGTACAGAAATACATGTCACTACTTATGTAATAGAATGTTTATGCCAAGAACTCTGCAGGTGGAGAACTAGGTTTTTGAGTATCCATTTTACCCCAAACATCAACTCTTTCTTATTTGAGGTACATTATGTTTATTGCCCAACAGCACCTTCATTGGCAGAATACTTCATCAGGAGGATCCGACTTGAGCCCAATGCAATAAACACTCCACCAAGCAGAAAGGTATAGGTGGTTGTCTTGGAGCAAAACACAAATCGACTACAGCACTTGGTCTCCATTCTGCTGTCTGGCTGTCAACGCCCTTTGGACGACAAGATGAAAATACACTATAAGTAGTACTTCCAGAAACTGGTTAAACCAGGTGAAATGTATTTTACTGCTTTGTGTTATCTTATACAAAGATGTTCTACATCGTAAGCCATGATCTCATTCTACAGTTATCTTTTTATTTAGAAAAAGATAGAGGATATGCTATGAGGACCAGCAAACGGGTATAAGCAACGTATTCACAGTGAGTTGGAAGGTGGCACAAAGAGGCCAGTTTGCCAGAAGAGCACATCTATGGAATACTGATTAACTAAAAGAAATAAATTAACATGCTTATTTTTCTTTAATATTTTTAAGCGTTCTCGTTCATAATTCCAGTAAGGAAAAGTTCTACAGCTGTGGAGCGAGAGAAACACCACAGAGATGACCTGGCACTTAAGCAGCACCAGCTTGTGCCCAGTAGGCAGGGGAAGAATACGGATTGCTGGAGGCAGAGCCTGAGCTGGACCCGTGGTCTCCGTCTCCAGCGCTGCCGTCACTTGGCCGACACGTTAACGGGACCCCAGATCTGAAAACCTGGCTAGCAGCCGGCCAACACCGGCCCCTGTGCCGGCAGCGGAGAGGAACCCCTTCGGGCCGGCTGCGGGCAGGACGTCCGTTA